ATCAAGACTATTTTCACTGGGAAAATCTACCATCAGGGACCTCTCCAGAGTACTGAGAAGCAATGATGTCAACCTAGAGATGCTTGATCCAGGCCATGGTCTTCGTAATTACTTGATATATGCATCAGAGAACTGGACAATGACTAAGGATGACAGAAGAAGAATTGGTGCCTTTGAGTTGTGATGCTGGAGAAGAGCCTTGAACATACCATGGACTGTCAACAGAACAAACAGATCTGTACTGGAGAGGGTAAACCAAGTTTCTCCTTGGAGGCAAGAATTTTGAAGCTCTGTCTCACATATTTTGGACACATGTCCAGGAGAGACTGGTCCTTGGAGAAGGACATCATGTTCGGAAGGGTGGAGGGACAGCACAGGAGAAGACCTTGGATGAGATGATGAACACTGTAACTGGGACAATGTGGGTAGGTGTGTCGGAATCAGTGAGACTGACTCAGGATAGGGCAGGGTTCAGAGCTGTTGTACATAGAATCGCTATGAATTGCAGGCTACTCGGTGGCACATAACAACAACAACTCTTCATGAATATCTACTAAAAACTATTCTCTATACACTTATCACTGGTTATCCTTTTTTTGTTATAGAATGGATCTATACAATATCTGTTCTTATGCACTTGAGTTAGTTCACTCAGCATAAAGCTTTCTAGCCTCTCCCAAGTTATACAGTATTTTTAAAAATCACAGCTTATTGCTCCATTGTATTCCATCATGCAAATGTACCATAGTTTCTCAGTCCAGTAATTCGTTGATGGACATTTTGGTTGTTTCCGAGTACTTTGTAGTGTGAATAATGCTGCTATAAGCATCAGTATACACATCTCTATTTGTATCTTAGCTCAATTTTCATTGGAATATATTCCTAGCAGTGTTATAGCTGATTCATAATGAATCTCTGTATCTAGCTTTTTGAGAAAATGCCAAATTGCCTTCCAATAATTATATCATTTTATAATTCTACCAACAGTGTATGAGAGTTCCAGTCTTTCCCTACTCTTTCCAACAATTATTGGTTACTGTTCTGCTAAAATTTCCCACTGCGACTAGGGTTGGATGGTATCATAATGCAGTTTTGATTTGAATCTCTCTTGCCAGTGGTTTTGAGCATTTCTTCATGTGACTGTTGGCCACCTGAGTGTCTTCCCCTATTACAGACCTATCAATATCTTTTGTCCCTTTTGTAATTGGGTCATCAGTTCTTTTTTCTTGTAGAAGCCATGTCATTGACAAAAGTTTTTTTTCCCAGTCAGCTGGTTTTCTTTTCACCCAATTGGAAAAGGTTTTTGATGCATACAGAGACTTAATTTTTAGAGGGTCCCATTCATTGAACTGTCCTCCCCTGGTTGTGCATTTCTGGCTGTTATTTGCCAGATGGATTAAATAGATGGATTAGTTTCTGAGTTCTCAGTTCTGTTCAATGATCTCTGTATCTGTCATTGTACCAGTAACACGCTATTTTGATTATTACAGTTGTGTAGTAGGGTTTTTTTTTTGTTTTTTTTTTAAATTTTTTAAAAATTTTATTATTTTTGTGTGAGTGTACCGTCAAATCAGATCTGACTGGTACAGGAGGAGATTGTCCGTGTAGTAGGTTTTGAGATCAGGGAGTGATATGCCTTCCACTTCATTTTTCTTTTCTAGAACTTTTTTACTTATTCAGGGTTTCTTTCCTTTCCAAGTGAACATGCCTATTGTATTTTCACTATATATATTGAGTTTTCCTATCCATGAACAAGGAACATTTCTTCCATTTAGTTAATCTTACTGTTTCTTGCAGTAGTGTTTTATAGTTTTCTTTATCAAGTTCTTTTTGTGCCCCTAGTTAGGTTTATTCCCAAGTATCTCACTTTGTTGTTGGCTGTTAGTAATGGCATTGCTTTCTTGGTTTTTTCCCCTCAGGGTTTTCTTTTTTACTGTGGAGGAATACCATGGATTTTTGTATATTGATCTTACTGCCATTCTCCTCAATTAATCTATTAGGTCTAACAGGTTTTTTGGTTGAGTCCTTAGGATTTTGTGTGTATACTATCATGTCATCTGCCTATAGTAAGAGTCTACCACTTCTTTGCCAGTTTGGATACCTCTTATTTCCTAATGTTATTGTTATGTGCCATTGAGTTGTGTGCGACTCATAGCAACCCTATGTACAGCAGCTCTGAACCCTGCCCTATCCTGAGCCAGTCCCACTGATTCCGACACACCTATCCCCATTGCCCTAGTTATGGTGTCAGTTCATCTCATCTGGGGTCTTCCTTTCCTGAGCTGTCCCTCCAACCTTCTGAGCACAATGTCCTTCTCCAAAGACCAGTCCTTCCTGGCCACATGCCCAAAGTATGTAAGACAGAGCTTCAAAATCCTAGCCTTCTAGCCTTCGAGGAGAAATTTGGTTTCACTCTCTCTAAGACAGACCTTGTTTGTTTTCTTGGTAGTCCATGATGTATTCATGACTCTTCTCCAGCACCACAATTCAAAGGAATCAGGTTTTTTTTTCTCCTGTCATCCTTAGTCATTGTGAAGACCATGGCCTGAATCAGGTGCTCCTTAGTCGCTAGACTGACATTGTTCCTTCTCAGTTCTCTGGAGAGGTCCCTGACAGCAGATTTTCCCAGTGCAAATAGTCTTTTGATTTCCTGACTGCTGGTGCTAAGAGTGTTGATTGTGGAGCTGAGCAAGCTGAAATTGTTGTTAAAAGCTTCAATCTCTTCTCCATCTATCATGGTGCTGCCAGTTGGTCCAGTAGTGAGAATCTTTCTTTTTTAATTTTATTTACCTTCTATTATTTCTTATTGTTTGTTTGTTGTTGTTATGTGCCGTCGAGTCACTTGCAACTCATACCGACCCTATATAAAAGAGTCCTAAACCCTGCTCTATCCTGTGCCAACCTCACTGTCTCCGACACACCTACTCCCATTACCCCAGTCACTGAATCAATCCATCTCATTAAGGGTCTTCCTCTCCTGTGCCATCCCTCCACCCTCCCAAACATGATGTCCCTCTCCAGGGACTGGTCCCTCCTTGCAGCATGCCAAAAGTATGTTAGACGAAAGAATCCTTGCCTCCAAGGAGCAGACTGGCTTCACCCTCTCTAGGGTAAAACTGTTTGTATTGCAGTATATTGCAGGATTAGACCTGAACTTCTATTATAGTCTACTGGGTTTTATCTGCATTATGGTGCCAAATAGTCATTCAATATATTTATCATAAGTGATAATATTATTTTATTCCTTTATTTACTGTACTAAGAGAAAACATTTTTTCCTTTTTTAAAATTATTATTAATTTTGATGAAAGTTTACAGAGACTTTGGATTTCCCTTCATTCATGAAAAGACACAACTTTTTTTTAAAAAAAATTTATTCTTTTTTTATGTGTGTACCGTCAAATCGGATCTGACTTGTACAGGAAGAGATTGTACCTCCTGCTCCAGCAGAGCATCTGGTGGATTCAAACTGCATACCTCTGGGATTGCAGTGCAACTTCTTGCCACTAGGCTACCAGAGCTCCCTAGAAGACACAACTTTTAAAGTATATCCTCAAACTAATGTGGCTGCTGGGCAGGGAGGAGGAGAGGACAGAGAGATTTGAAAATGAGCGGAGGGTTTTCATGGTTACTATGACTCCTGGTGACCCTCTGAGCAATAGATCTAAACCCTGAATAATGGATCTAAACCCTATTCTCTCCTGTGCCATCCTTACCATCTCTGACATACGTGAGCCTGCTGCTACAGTCATCATGACAGTCTATCTTGTTGAGAGTCTTTCTCTCTTACGCTGACCCTTCACCTTCCTACGCATGATGTCTTTCTCTAGGGATGGTCACCTGGTAACAACATGTCCAAAATATGTGAGATGAAATTTCACCACCCTTGCATCCAGGGAACACTCTGGCTTCACTTTCTCCAAGGCAGACTAGTTTGTTCTCCTGGCAGTCCATGGGTATTCAGAGTCTTCTTCAGCACTACAACTCAAAGACATCTGTTCTTCTGTCATCCTTATGCATTTTCCAACTTTCACATGCACAGTGAATAATTAAGAAGACCATGGCTTGGATCGGGTGCACCCAAGTCTTTAAATGGAGATCATTCATCTTTAGCACTCTGGGGAGGTCACTAACAGCAGATTTCCCCAATGCTATGTGTCTTGATTTTTTTTTTTTACTGCTAGTACAAAGGGTGTTGATTGTGGATCCAGTTAAGATAAGATTACTGACAACTACAGCCTTTTTTCCCCTTCTATCATGATGTTGCCTATTGCCTGGTGGTGAGAATTTTTGTTTTCTTGATGTTGAGATATAATCCATATTGAAGGCTATAGTCTTTGATATTCTGCAGCAGGCGTTTCAAGTCTTCCTCACTTTCAGCAAGCAAGGTTGTGTCATCTGCATAGTGCAAGTTGCTGATGGGTCAGTCTTCTTCCAATCTGGATGCCATATTATTCTTCACAGAGTTCAGCTTCTTGAGTGATTTTCTCAAATAAAAGTTGAGTAGCTGTGGAGGGAAAAAAAGTATAGCCTGAGACACCCCTTTCTTGATTTTAAACTAGAAAATGATGCAGTGTTCCCATACTTTATTCCTGCAACAGGCTTTTGGGCTTGGTATAGGTTTTGTGTGAGCATAGTTACATGTTCTGGGATTCCCATTCTTTTCAATGTTAGTAAGAATTTGCTGGGATCTGCATAGTCAAATGCCTTTGCGTAGTTGAAAAGTGGTTATTTAGCTATAACTAATCTATTACGATAATGACCAACTTTCATCTTTAGCCAGAACAGTATAAATAAAAGCATTAGATTAATGGAAACAAGAGAAAGTGACAAGATAAATTCAGAACTAAAATGTTAGATTTGATTGATTATTTGATTATAAAATTACACATGCGAAAACACCACTTCAAAAGTTGTGCAAGTACAATTCAGTGACATTTGTGATATAATTTTGTTCCATTATTGCATCCAATAATGTACTTTTCTTTATTTTGTTACAGATTCTGAACATTTCTTCTAAGGAAAAATACCCATTATTTACTTTTGTAAATGGTCATTCCAGGGATTATGATTTTACATCTACTACAACCAATGAAGATGACCTTTTCTCAGAAGATGAAAAGAAAAGATTAAAAAGATTTAGCACAGAAGAGTTTGTCTTACTATAATGATTAACCCGTTGGTGCTTGAGAACTTCTATGAAAGGTGGAGAAATAAAGAGAAAGAAACTAGTGTGTTTGAAACTGGTTTATTTTCACAAATACCTTAATTTTATATATTCTACACAAATAAAAAGAACATTTGAAAATATACAAGTTTTAAAGAATTTTTTTTTCTGCAAGAAAAGTGATTTAATGAAACTTATCAAGTAATCTGGTTGTATTCGTGTTTTCCAAAGATCTGCTAATAATGACTGATCTTAATTGCAAGCCTTCTTGTCTTCTAATTCTTTTGCTGGAAGCAACTAATCACGTATCCTAGAGATTTTGTGATACTGTCCTAAAGACTGGGATCACCAAATATTTTCAGAAGTTCCAGCTTGTACTAAATGAGAAGATCAGAAGATAAATTGTAGATGCTGTCCAGCGTGTTCCTATACTTGTTGATGAAATGAAAGGATACTTTTGGATGTATTTTGCTGTGTTAAAGAGTGATATTTAGCTGTGTTATACATAAAGTTATAGAGGCATAATTGTGACTTAAGGTAACTTAGTAATACAGTTTTATTGTGGCTGCTCATAATGTTTGCTGTTGAACCTTCATATGAGGATGAATATGAAGCATTGCTTTTTCCACAGATAAAAGGTTATAAGCAAGTGCATCCAATCAAATTAGATAACAGACATTAATAAGCATAGTATTTGTTTCCTCTCTCAAAAAGGCAGTTTTATGGAAACTCTACTTACTATGCACTTTCTAAATCTGAAAATAAGTACCAAGAAAGGCATCAATAGATTCTCCTCTTTGTGAATTTTGCTGTTCGTATAAATCAGTGTAGTGGTGTTTATAAGCTGAAGCCGCTTATAAGGCAAATCAACATAGAGTATGTTATGTGTCACTTAAAGGCAATTTGTGATATAAAAGTACTAGAGTTATTATTGAACCAAGTCTATAAAATATTTTAATAAAGATGTAAGAACATAAAAAGCTTTTGTTTTGTTTTGGTTTTAATGTTGGGATTCTTTTAATCCTTTCATTTAAGAAATAATTGTCGCAAATGAATTCTTTTTATTTATAATGAAAGCAAATAATATTGTTGCTGTAAAAGCAAAATATTAACTTTCTTTCTAGGGTCTTTATATTTCATTGTGGAAAAGTGACATACAGATATAAAATTATGTATTATCGAGAGCCATTAATCTATAAGAAAGGTTGTTAAGGGTAGAGTTGCATGCAAAACTGAAGTAGAGAGTCAGTAGATTAGCATATCTAATGAGAGAAATCAGATTTGACATTCTCAATGTGGATCATTTACAGAAGTGAAATAAATAGTCTGAAATTGGAAAGTTTCCTTTACCTTCACCTTCCTGAAATCTGGACAACTTAAGTCCAATGCTAATTTCCCTAGGCTTGTCAAAGCAGTATAGGAACAGGTAGTCAGTGGCATGGCAGATTTTCTAGGCTGTAGTCCTCTAATCTAAACAAGGGCAATTTGTTCCTATATAGCATCAGTATTCTATTTGCAGGATTTTTACAATACACATATCAAACAAGAGCACACATACCTTCAAATGGATCAGAACTGATTGTAAATGTTCTCAGAAGAGTTATAAAGGAAGGTTAGAGTTACAGAATAGAAGTCTGTTATTTCCTCAGCATATTTGTTGTTGTCATTAGGAGATTTTGGATCGAGTACTATTCATAGCAGCCCTACAAACAACAGTTCTGAACCCTGTCCTAACCTGTGCCAGCTTCACAATCTCTGACATACTCAAGCACACTGCTGTAGTCACACTATCATTCCAGTCTGGTTGAGGGTCTTCCTCTCTTTCATGGTCCCTCCACCTTTCCAAGCATGATCTCCTCCAAGGAATAGCCAGCTGTTCCTCGCCATATGCCCAAAGTATGTGAAATGAATCTTTGCTATCCTTTCTTCCAAGGAGCACTCTGGCTTCACTTTCTCCAAGACATATCTGTTTGTTCTTTTGGCAGCCCATGGGATATTCAGTACTCTCCTCCAGCACCACATTCAAAGCATACCAGCTGAACAATGTTGAGGTGAGAAGATGTATGAACTTCTTTTATATGTTGTTGTTATTAGGTGCTGTTGAGTTGAATGCAACTCATAGCAACCCTTTGAATGAAAGATTTTAACCCTGTTCCATCCTCATACATCCTGACACACAAGAGCCCACTGCAGCAGTCACCATGTCAGTCCACCTTGTTGAGAGTCTTTCTGTCCTTCACTGACCCCCTACCCTTCCCAGCATTGTGTCCCTCTCTAAGGAATAGCACCTCTTAGCAATATTCCCAAAGTATGTGAGGTGAAACCTCATCATTATTGTCTCCAAGGAGCACTCTGTACCCTCTCCAAGATACATCTGTTTGTTCTCTTGGCCATCCATGGGATATTCAGTGTTTTTCTACAATATCACAGCTCAAAGACATCAGTTCTTTTTTCCTGTTATTGTCCAGCTCTCAGATACATAGCAAGTAATTGGAAAGACCATGGCTTGAATCAGACGTACCTTAGTCCTCAAATTGACATCATTACTCCTCAGTAATTTGGAGAAGTCCCTGACTGCAGATTTTCCCCAGTGCAATGTGTCTCCTTATTTCCGGACTGCTGGTACCAAGGGTGTTAATTGTGGATCTAAGCAAGATGAAGCTGTTGACAGTTTCAGTCTCCTTGCCACCCACTGTTTTCTTGACATTGAGATGCAATCCATACTGAAGTCTGCATTCCTTGATCTTCTGCAACAACTGTTTCAAGTCCTCCTCACTTCCAGCAAGGAAAGTTGTGTCATCTATATAAGGCAGGTTGTTGATGAGTCTCCGATTCTGATGCCACACTCCTCTTCGTAGAATCCAGCTTCTCGGATAATTTGCCCAGCATACAGATTGAATAGGTATGGAGAAAGAATACAACACTGGTGCACTCCCTTCCCAATTCCAAACCATTTGCACAATCAAGTGCTCTGGAATTTTTATTCTCAATGTCAGCCATAGCTTGTTACGATCCACGCTTTCAAATGCCTTTGCATAGTCAATAAAGCACAAATAGACATTCTTCTGGTATTCCTTACTTTCAGCCAGGATCCATCTGACATCAGTAATGATATCCCTGGTGTCATTGCCTCTTCTGGCACTTCCTTATTTTTGTACTATCTTTTATATGGAAAATACTTAAACCATTATTAGACAATACATGTTAGAGTACAATTATTCTGATGACTAGAGATATTTATATGCAGAAAGTTGCATCATAATATACACATAAAAAGATATAATTATTTGTGAATGAAAATTGAGGGTTGAGCTGATGGATATTTCTTTCCTGCTAATTTGGCTTCACAGATAACTAGTCAAAAATTGTGTTAATCTGTTTTGGGGAAGGTAGTAATAGTAATAGATTTAGAATTGTTTTTAGGTGCCATTGAATTGAGTATGGCTCATAGGGACTCTGAACAATAGAGCTGAACCCTGTCTTGTCCTGTGCCTGCATCACCTCTGACACACTTGAGCCCATAACTGCAGTCACAGCATCAGTCCATCTCCTTGAGAATTGTCTTCTCTTTCACTGACCCTTTACCTTTCCAAGCATGATGCCCATCAGCTTGGAAGAGCCTCTTGTAGCAACTGTATGAGAACAGGACAGTTGTGTAAACAGCACAGAAACACCGCGTGGTGTAAAATGAGGAAAGATGTGCTTCTGAGTGTGTTCTTTCCCCATACCTATTTATATGCATGCTGAGAAAATTATTCAAGGAGCTTGACTCTTTAAAGTAAAAGGTGGGATTGGAGGAAGACTCACCAATAACCTTCATTTGCAGATGACACAGTCTTGCTTGCTGAAAATGAGGAGGACTTCAGGCACTTGCTGCAGAGGGTTAAACACTGAAGCCTTCAGTATGGATTGCATCTCAGTGTAAAAAATAACAAAAGCCCTTCAGACTGTCAACGACTTCATCTTACTTGGATTCACAATCCACACATTTGGCAACCAGCAGTCAGGCAATAAGGAGACATATTGCACTGTAAAGTTTGTAGCCAGGGACCCCTCCATATTATTGGGGAGCAGTGATGTCAGTTTGAAGACTAAGGTGTGTCTGATTCAGGCGACAGTCATCAGTCACTTGTGCATCTGAGAGCTGGATAGTGACTAAGGATGACAAGAAGACCTGAAAGCCTTTGAACTGTGGTATTGGAGAAGAGTGCTGACTATCCCAAGGACTTCCAAAAGAACAGATGTGTCTTGAATAAGGTGCATCCAGAGTGCTCCTTGGAGGCAAAGATGATGAAGTGCCACATACTTTGGGCATGTTGCTAGGAGAAATCATTCCTTAGGGACATTATGCTTATAAAAGTGGGGGAACAGTGGAAGAAAGGAAGACCCTTGGCCAGGCGTGCTGACACGGTGGCTGTGACAATGGGTTCGAGTGTGTCGGAGATTGTGTGGATGGTATGGGATTGGACAGGGTTCACATTGGTTGTTCATAGAGTCATTAAAAGTTGTACTTGACTCCATGGCACCCAACAACAACAAAGTGACTGTGTGAGCTCTGGTGACCTAGTGGTAAGGAACTGCACTGCGAGTCCAAAAGCACATTGTTCAAATCCACCAGCTCCTCCATAGGAAAAGGATGAGAAGTCTCCACTGTGTGATTTACTGCCTCTGAAAACCCACTGGAGGGCCAGCTATGGGTCAGTTAATGACCTGGCAGTATATAACGACAGCAACAGCAACTTCTTATTCTGGTTCCAGATTTTGTTTTGCACATAGTTTTTTTTCACGTTCTGACAGTGAGTAAATGCCATCTATAAAGCTTAAGAATGATCTCTTTTGAACCCAGGATAAAATGAGAAGGACAAAGTTCTAAGATGGATGTTCATACAGAATTATGATAGGAGAACCCTCCATTTGGATACCATAAATATTCAGTTACTGAATTCTATCATTAACATTTCAGAAATGAATTTTTAAAATTCTTGAGGTGACTTTTTTATGGTTCAGGTTTCTTTTCTTTCTACTTCATAAAATTTGACACTTTGAATCCCTTTTTGTCAATCTGTTTAACCACTTGCAGGCAACCTTGAGACTCATTCTTTGCTGAATGAATAAAAAAGCCTTTATAGTGTAAGTATTGCCTAAATTAACTCGCTTATTACTGTTTAGTCAAAACTGACTCTTAGCTGATTTTCA